CTTAATCTATATTATATACATAAGAAAATGCTTCCCTTGTCCTAAGGGAACTTGAAGCTCATTAACGGAGTGGCTGGCTGATTTTTCCAGACCTGGACTGGATGAAGATTGGGAAGATGTATGAGAATGTTTCTTTCAGCATCTGGTTTCTGTAAGGATAGACGGATACAGTTTAATTCTGCACCCCGATCCGTCTCCATAAAATTATTCCTCAGTTTCTGCTGTTGTTGGCGATGTGGAGCGACTTCATTATATTTTTTGGCAATGTCCACATAGTTCATTTTTCTGGAGGATCAGAGGTCGACTGTATCCTCTAGGATACACCATTCAGGTATCATTATCAGTGGATGTTTGCCTGTTGCGGGCTGGTCGACTCTCTGGCACACAGTAGGGCCTCCAGAAACTTAAAAGGAATTTTATTGTTTTTTGCTAGACGAAGCTATAGTGTTGAAGTGGAGAATCCTCCAGATGTTCCCCACCTCTTATTGCTGGAAGAGGTTAATAAATCTCTATAATATCATTGTTTATGGCTACTGACCTATCACAGGTTGTCCTCATAAATTCCATTAAGGGTTCGTGGGATTCTGGGATATTTGGGTAGATTCCATCACCGAATCGTTAGAGCAAGATTCTTCCCTTTAGCTTAAGAAGGTTTAAATGTGATATTCCTTAATCACTTGTCCCTCTAGAGGATTTACCCCCCTTTCCTACCAGGCTCTTTTTGCTACTCGGCGGCTGCACTAATTCAACTGATAAATTGCGCAGTCATGCAATGCTGTACCCAACGCTATTTACGTCCTTTTTCTCACACAAACAGAGCTTTCTTTCGGTGGTATTTGATCTCTGTGCGCTTATTATTTTTTGCGCTAAAAAACAAAAAAAAGACAGAAAAATTTTGAAGTAAAAACTATCTTTTTTTACTTTTGGCTATAAAAAATATTATTGTAAACTCAAAGTTTGTTATATAATTTAGGCCAAAATGTTTTCTGCTACATGTTTTTGGTAAAAAAATCCCAATAAGTGTATATTGATTGCTTGTAGTGAACGTTTTAGTGTCTACAAAACTATGGTTATAGATACTGTAATTTACGCCTTTTTTTTTTTACTTACAGCGGTTGCCACTTGTTTAACTGACAATACTAAGTCATGTCATTTACAGGTACCCCATAAATGATAAATTTATGTCCTTTTTTTTCACACAAATAGTGCTTTCTTTTGGTGGTATTTGATCACCTGTGTGCTTTTTTATTTGGAGCTAATAAACAAAAAAATTGGTTTTCAGGAAAAAAATGTTCCAAAAAAAAGGTATTTCTAATTCAAAAAAAACTAAATTTCGTCTTAAAATTTTAGGTCAAAATGTATTTCTACTCCATGTTTTTGTTGTAAAAAAATCCAATAGGTGTATATGATTGCTTTGTTTGAAAGTGTTATAGCGTTACAAACTATGGCATAGAAAATGGAATTTACACAGCTTTTACTTTCTGACTGCCTATCACATTTCTTGTGGTGCTAAAATACCCAGGATAGTACAAACCCCCCAAATGACCCCTTTTCTGCGAATGTAGACACCCTAAGCTATCTGCTGGAGAGGCATATTGGTCCCATGGAAGATTTATTTTTTCAAAGTTTCTGGAAATGCCAAAAACTTTTTTTTTTCTTTCTTTTTTTACACAAAGTTGCCCATTTAAATGATGGCACCAAGCCATGGGTATATGTGAATTACCACACATTCTGCTATTTCTACGAGTTTGGGGGGGTTACCACATGTGTGAGACTTTTTGGGAGCCTAGCCACATAACAGGAGCATGAGATCCAATGACCACTTTGAAAGCCTGAAGGTGCGTAACTTCCTCATTTCAATTCCTTCACTACCTATCCCAGTTTTGAAGGCCCTGAAATGCCAGGATGAGCACCCCCACCCAAAATTACATCTTTTTGGAATGTAGACACCCCATGAAATTTAAAAAGAGTGCATGCCTGGTGAGTATTTTTGCAGATCTAATATTTTTTCTCACACATGCAAGGTTTTGAAATATAAAAAGAAAAGAACAAATATATTTTGTTTTTTTCTTCAACTTCACAAACTTGTGGCAACAAATGAGCATCTGCAAAATACTTACCATGTTCTTAGCAAATTCCTTGGGTGTTCTACTTTCCAAAAAAGTGGTCATTGGGGGGGGGAGGGGGGGAGGTTGCTATCCTGGCATTTCAGGGTCCTCTGAAACTGTGATAGTTAGTCAAGAAGTGTAATGAGGAAACTAAAGTCCTTTAAAAGTGCCTGTATGGTGCTTCTTGGATTTTCATTTTGGCCTGGTCTTAGTACTTCCGGCTAGCGCAGAGCTCGCCAAAACGTCTCGTCCATCACATGTGATAACCCCATATCGGTGTGAGACAGTCGCAGAATGTTTTTGGGAGTAAATTCTACATATACAGTGCATTGGCTTGTGTGAGCAATAAATCTCAATTTAAGTGGTAAAATTGTTGTGTACAAAAAAAAACACAATTTTTTGTTTGTAATTTTCCCAAAGATAAACTTGTTGGTAATGAAATAGTAAATTCTTCTATAGAGTTCAACATGCCTCTCAGCAAATAGTTTGGGGGTGTCTACTTTCTTAAAAAGGGGTTCATTTTTGGGTGGGTGGGGGCGTTTATGCCAGCATTAGAAGTTTTTGGACACACGTCACTCACTCTTCTAACCACCTTGAAGATCAAGCCTCTTCTGAACTTTTTGTTTAACATGAAAAAAAAATCAGTATGTTTTTGCTAGGGAAATTAATTTAAACCCCAAACATTATATATTTTTTTTAATGCAAACACCCTCAGTGAATATAATGGGTGGGATTGCTGCTGCTGCAATTTTTTATGTCACATAGCTGCCTAGCGCAGTGATTTTTCAAAACGCAATTTTAAAAAAAAAATAATTTTTTTTTAACTTTTATTGCACAAAAAACACAAAAAATATTGGTCCTATTATTTGGGAGAGAATTTAAAGATGATGGTGTATGCCCAGTAAATAGTTACCAAACATGACCATGCATTTAAAACTAGACGCATGTTCATGTGCATATGTGAAACAAAACTGCATCACATTTTTAATATCCTTAGGCAATGTTTTTAAAAGCCTTTACAAAGCGCTACCACTTGAGAATGTACAAGAGGTAAGGTCTATGATGTTGTTGTGTTAGTATTCACTGTCCTTATTCTGACAGTTCGTGGCGTTACCGTCAACAAGGCATGGTGGCAACTGCTGTTTTCATATGGCACAGGGTAAAAGCACTCAAACGCGGGGATGTGGGTACTTTTTTTTTTTTTTTTATATTATTTTTGTATTTTTGTGTAAATATTTTAACGCTTTGTTCCCTTCATTTTTTTTGAGCATCTCATTTTAGTACTATCACGCAGGAATGCAAGAATAATCCCCTATAAACAATCAATGGGGCTGTCAGGGCTCCCAGGTGTGACTCAGAGGTGTGTGTACTGACCGTCAGCGGAATAAACGCAGACTTCAGATATGTGATAAACATATTGTAATTCTAGATTAACTAGCTAACTTCATGACAAACATAAATCGGGCAGTTGCAATACTAACATATAAGTTGCCAACAAACCAAACCTAACCCACCCACAGATAGCTAGTACATACAAGTCATAGGCGTCGTGCTAGGGCAGGCGGGTTCAATATAACTGGGAGGTAGGTACAGGGGGAGAAGCGGTGATGAGTGTGGTCGGGGTCACAGGCCAGGTTCTGCAGGTAGAGCAGCGTAGTACAGTAGGGTCAGGCAGATGGGTGTGTGTGGTCAGACAAGCCAGGGGATCAGGAGCAGGATGTCAGTCGCTAGAGAATCAGATTAAGGAACAGTTGAGCAGGAACAGGGATACAGGGCCAAGAGAAACACAACACCAAGGTCCGAAGTCTGCAAGTCTGGCCATCCTTAATACCCCAGCATAAATCAGTTCCAGGTGTTAGCCTGGCTGCAAAGTTGAGTCTCTGATTGCTGGGAGCACCCGCTGGCCAGCACTGGGTACTGCCAGATCAAAAGGCAGGTGAGTCCCACCATTGCTGGCTAGTCCATTCCTTGCAGCAGTACCACAGCCCGACACCTCATGAGGCGGGAGTGCCCATACGAAGGCACGATCTCCATAACCTGAGTTCCTAGCTTGGCCTGCTCACAAATGTTCCAACCCGCCTCGAGTCTGGTAAACTGGTGTGGAGGATTATCAAAGACTGGCACACTGGGAAAGGACCCTCCCGGGCAGCAGCCACACCTGTGGGCAGAGCACACTTGGCGGTACAAGAGTTTACCAGTCCGCGATACGCAAGGCATCATTGGGCAAAAGGCACATCGGGCAGTCAGAGGCCACCTGCTAGGCACATTCTGCGCACGAAAAGGTAGGCAACACCGGACCACGCCCAGGCACCCATCAGGCAAAGGCACACCGCGGCAGTAGGCCACATCGCGGTCAGAAAGGCCACCAACCGTGCAGTCTGCACATTCGGTGCGAGCAGCTTCTCTGCGGCCGACAGAAGGCCCCCCCACATCGGCGCCTGGGCACATCCGGGCACTCAGGCACACCTCTCGGGCTGCGGGCTACATCACCTGTACTCCGAGAGCAGCTACGCACATCGAAGCTGTAGTGACCCACCGGAGCGAGGAGATCCACACTGGCTCGGGCCCAGGTACCTCCGGGCACATGCAGAGGCACCTCGGGACGTGCGATGCCCCAGAGCTCCCCGGGCAGAGGCACATCCCGGGCAGACTCTTGTCATGCAGGACTCGGGGCAGAGCCATCGGGCTTGGGCGACATCGAGCTGGACTCCGTAGGGCATGAGGCACACTCATGGGAGCAGGACTCCCGGGCAGAGGGGCACATCGGGCCAGGACTCCGGGCAGGCAGGCCACATCGAGGCCGGACTATCGGCTGGACTCCGGGCAGAGGCATCATCGGGCCGGACTCCGGGCAGAGGCACACATCGGGTTACGGCGACTTAGCAGGGCAGAGGCGTCATGTCGGGCCGGACTCCCGGGCAGAGGCACATCGGAATTACCAGGGCGAGTAGCAAGCAGCAGGCAGCGGGCCCACCGGGCGGGAGCAGCAGGCACCGGGCCCCCGGGCGGAAGCAAGCAGGCAGCGGGCCCCCGGGGCAGGAAGCAGCAGGCAGCGGGCCCCCGGGCCGCGGAGCAGCAGGCACGCGTGGCCCCCGGGCGGAGCGGTATATTTTTTTAAGCGCCATGCCAACGGCATGTTACGGGCCCCGCCCGGTGCGGGGCAGACGCGGTGCTATGCGGCATTCGGGCCCCCAGGGCGGAGACGTCCAGGCGTGGCGTCAGCCGGAGCGGGTCACCCCCCAGGCAGTGAGCGGCGGGCGCCGGGCCCCCCAGGCGGGGGGGCGAACCAGGCCATCGGGCCCCTCCAGGCGGGGCGACAGGAGCGGGGCCCCCAGGCGGGGCGACAGGCATCGGGGGCCCCCAGGCGGCTTGGCGACAGGCATCGGGCCCCTAGCGAGCTTGGCACCAACAGGCATCGGGCCCGCACCAGTGACTGGTGCGGGGGGGGACGCCGGGCTCCCAGGCCCAGAGCGGATCGATGCTCATCGGGCCTCCATTTCAGGCGGAGCGGCCGGGCGCCGGACCTCCAGGTGGTGAGCAGACAGGTCTCGGTTGGGCCTCAGGTCGGAGCGGCGGGCGCCGGACCCCCAGGTGGAGCGACAGGTCTCGGGCCCGCACCCCATGCAAGAGCGTGCGGGCACCGAGTCACCAGGGCACGGACCAGTGGGGCTCCGGAGCTGGTCAACTTCGGCGATGACCGCTGGACACTTGGGTCAGGACATTGGATCGTCTGGCTGGACAATGCGGGCATCGGGTGTAACCAGGCATCTAGGTCAATTGTGGGCTCCTCGACTGCACGCGGGCACCTGGCGTCATCATGGGCGAAAGGCAGTGGGTCTCCGGAGTCATACTGTTATGAACCGCTGGTGCTACTTGGGTCAGAACATTGGAGTCGTCCTGAACTTGTGGACAGCGGGCATCGGTGTCACCAGCCATCAAGTCATTTGTGCTCGACCCTTAAACGCGCGAGGCATCGGCTGCGTCATCTGGCCAAGGCAGTGGGTCTCCAAGTCGCAACAGGCATTGACAGTGGGCTCTGAGCCAATTGGAGCCACGACAGGCGGGCACCGGGTCATCAGTATTGGGATCGTCTGGCTTCGACAGCGGGCATCGGGTCACCAGGTATGAGAGCGGGCACTGGGTCACCAGGCATCAGGTCATTTGGCTCGCCGGGGCAGGA